CCCTCCACCGTCCAGGGCTGAGGTCCCCTGGAGACCCGCAGCACTCCTGCCCCATATCCCCTTGTCCCTGCAGTAGTGATGAGGCTCCCGGCAGCGCGGGACGGGACGCGTGGCTCTGCGGGAGTGATAGCCGCTGCTGCAGAGGGGGCGAGTCAGGGCCACGGGTAGGGTATTTTTGGGGGACAAGGCAATGGAGCTGTGGTTCAGCTCTCAGTCCGTGGTTCAGCGGCTGACAGTGGGTTAGTGTGCCAGCTAGGGTGAGCAGGGAGTGAGCAAAGGTCACATTGATGGGTTTCCCTCACCACATCCTGGTGTTCAGACACATCAGCCCCCCGGCTGAAATCCAGCCGTCACCCCCCCTGCCCTGTCCCCGGCCCTCCCACAGCCTCTCCTCCCCTCCCTCCAGCCCTGGGTGCCTTGGGGGAAGGGGGAGCAGGAGCCGCTTGTCTGCAGCCCATGAAGGCGAGGAGGCAAAGCTGACTCCTTGCTGCAGGCATGGGGGTCCACCAGAGCCGCTGGGCGACCTGGTTCCTCTCCGCAAGGGCTTTGCTGCTGAGCGCTGACCCCCCAGCTCTGGTCGCCCTCACCTGCTCCGGGTGGGATCCCCCATGGAGGAGGACCGCCAGGGCACACGTCTTGGGCAGGTCCCCATCCGCCTCTGCCACCTCCTTTGCTCCCAGCCACGAAGCTTCTTCCCCTGTTGAAATTTCCCTTCCAACATTCCCAGTGCCCGGAGCGGAGGCTGACGGAGCAGCACAGCCTGCCCATAAAATGGCAGAGGAAGGACAGAGCCCACAGGCTGATGGGTTTTATTGCTGGGGAGTTTTGATAGCCGGTTTCTCCGCACCCAGCGGGGACGTTAGAAGCAGAGGGGAATCTGACTCTCAGTATTTATTTTCCATTTGAGAAATTACCATAGATTTCTATGCAACTGAAGCGCAGCCCTCGGGTTCCTGGCGGGCTGCCCACGTGGCTTTTGAAGTTGCAAAGCTCTGGACACGCCTGCTTGAAAGCGTTTTACGATGTTCTTCTCGAAGAAAGCCGAGTTCAAAGGAAAGGCTCCTCGGCTGGCGTAAATCAGCTGAGCCCTGCGATGATTGTTCAGAGCTGGCAGGGTTCACGTGGGCCAAGGGCTTGGACCACCCTGCCGGGGCACTGCTCACGGCGCTCCGCAAGCCCTTACGGATGTGCCAAAGGAAACCGTCGCCTTGCCCGGGCGAGGATGGATGTCCCACTTTAGGGCCTTTGAAGTCAAGTAGCAGGCTCCCGAGAGTCGTTAGCAGCCAGAGCCCAGATGAGCTCCTTTTCTCAGCCATATTCGGGATTCAGAGGGCAGTCCCCAAGAAAGCAGAGAGGGAGAGCGAGGGTAGCTGTCGGTGGGAGAACCCCGAGCTTGTGAATGGGACGAAATTTAGCACCGCTTCCCAAAGAGGCTTCAGCTCAGCACTGCTAGTTTGGCAGAGCTGTCGTGGTTCAGCTGGTCTGATGGTCTGGATCCTGCTCGCGAGAGGGGCTTTACACAGATGCCTCAGTGGTGCCAGGAGCAGGGTTGGGGCTGAGCCCTCTCCGGCCACAGGTGATGGGATGGTGCGGGGGGCGGTGGGGGGGGGAGCCGTAGGTGACACATGCAAGAGTTGAGCTGTAAGGACTCGGAGAGTGCAGTGGAGGCAAGGAAGCGGTGCATGAGATGGGGCCCCGGCACGCTGGGTGTCCCCAGCCGTGGTGTGCCCAGGCTCCGTGCGGGGCTGCTGCGGCTTGCTCACCGGGCACCTTTGGGGCGGCTGTTCCTCCACCCTAATGATCACCACTGTAGGACACGCCATGTGCTGCCTCTGGTCCCTGGTTCCTCCTCGTTCCTCCCCCTTACCATCCATCTCTCCCACCTTTCTCTTTCCACAGCTGCACATCACCAGCCAGACGTCCGCCGGGGAGGTGGTGAAGCTGGTGGTGCTTGAGATGAATGATGTCTCCCGCGGCGTGCTGGGCGGCTCGGCCGCCTTCTGCTACAGCGAGGAGCAGCTGGAACACTTCGGACTGGTGTTCACCTCCGACGAGAGCGAGCAGTGGCTTCCCGATGACTTCTTGCCTCTGTCCCTCCAAACTACCCGTCCTGAAGGGCGGTTCTTCGTCCGGATCAAGGAGACATCCCCTCTGGTGCTCCAGTACGGGCCAGCGACCACCGTATGAGAGGAGGAGAGCTGGCCGGGCAGCGCGGGGACCTCAGCTTCCAGAGAGCAGACAGCTCGTCTCTGATGCTTCCTTCTTCCACAGACACCCTCTCATCAGGCGTCCGCGCGGTGGAATGGGATCATACTGGGCTGTGTGTTATTTGTTTGTGTTTTTTGTTTTTTTTTTTTTTTTTTAACCAAAGAGACATCGAGACTCAGTTTTTCTGACTGCAGAACAGGAGGGTGGAGTGCGGAGACCTCAGAGCTCGGGAGGAATCTCTGCAGGAATGGAATTTTTGAAAGTAAACATTTTTAAGGGGAAAGGGGGGGAGAGAGAGGAAAAATATTACAAGAAGCAGCAATACCTTTTTTTTTCTTTCTTCTTTTTCTGAAAAGCCTTGTTTGGGATTCACTGAAGGCAAAGCCACATAGGATTGCTGGGCAGGGTTGTGGAGGAGAGGGCACGAGTCACGACGACAGCACTGAGAAGGGTGTTTTCCTATCTGCCCTCCTTTCACTGTACCTGGAGAAACAATTCTTGCACATAGTTCTTGGAACAAAATGATACTATTTTTTTTTTTCCTGAAAAAAAATTAACAATAATTGTGCTAGAGACACTGGAGTTGTGTAAGAGGTGAAGACCCTTTGACTTGTTTTAAAGGCAAAAGGAATCCACGCAGCCAGCCCCACGCGCACACGCAGCTGTGTTGATACCACCACTGGAGGTTTGCTATAGGGCATCTACTGCAACGCTCTGCACACCACCCTGGGATTTCCTTTCCTCCTCGGTTGCCGTTTTGTTCTGGTGATTGTGCTTGGCCTCTCTTGTATGTCCTATAGCATGACATTTTGTTAGCCACTAGATCTCTTGTTAACAAGGTTATTTTTCTGATCTCCTGTGATCCATAGTAAAGATGACTGCTGCTGACTGCGTATCACTCTTTTCCTTCTTGCGGCTTGATGCGTAGTGTTCCTTCATCCCCCAAATTAGCCCTGATTTCAAGGGCTGGGTTCATCTTTCCCAGGAGCATTTAATGGGATGCTTTCCACCCGGTGGAGGTTTACATTAACATGCAAATCGCATGTGTGGGAGCGAAGTGCAAGTTAAAAATGTTTTTCTGGGCTTCATAGCTCTGTAAGGCAGTAAAATAAACTTTGGCATGCAAAGGCAGTCACCTCCACGTGGTGTTGGAAACCCAATGGTTGTAGGGCCCGAGCATCTGCAGTTAAATGCATTAATCCAGTCCTGCAGCCTCCACCGAGCAAAGAACACCAGGAGAAGAGCGTGGAAAGCAGCAAGAGCTCACAGCTGTATTGCAGCTGGCGCAAACACTTTCAAGCAAGCGAGCGGCAGCAAGCAAGGTGCGAGGCTGGCGGTCCTTCGCAAGGTCGGTCCTCCGCAGGGTGAGCCTGGTTTTGCTGATGCCCCTCTGCCAGCCGCCTCTCTCCCCTTCTCTCTGCATGGAGGCGTTCAGATTGGGCAGCAGACCCCCGTCCCTGGGTGCCGGGATGAAGGCAGGGGCTCTGCGGGCAGCCGCGCGGGGTCTGCCTGCCGGCTGCCGTCGCTCCTCGGAGGTTCGTTGTTCCTCGCCTTGCTGCAGAGAGCCAGCGGCACGCTGTGCGGTGCGGGCAGGAATATATCCCAGCACGAGCCCTTCGCCGCCCCACGTCAAAGCCACTCTGAAGGGGAGGATCGTGTGCCAGCCCCTCAGCTGGTGCAAATCAACAGCACCGCATTGACGTCAGCGCAGACACCGCCATGGGACGTGGAGGCGAGCGGCAAAGGAACATTCAAAAAGGCACTTCTCCCATCTCCTTTCCCCTTCACTCGTCTCCTTCCTCAGGTTAAAACCAATCCCGCTTTCGCAGGTCAAGGAAGAAGCAGGTTGGTGAGTGGAGGTTCCCATGGAGTTTGTCCTTGTTGGGCATCCACGGGCATCGACATCCTGACGAGGCAGGAGCTGCAGGGTAGCCCTTCCCTAGCAAGAGCTTCTTCACATGCGTCACCTACTGATGCTCAGAGCCTGGGGCAGAGGAGAGGCACAACTGGTGGAAAGCTATTAAGTGGCTTTCTGGAAGTCACAGAATGAATTCAGTATTAGAGCAGGGCTACGTACAGAAAGCTACATCTGTGTTCCTGATGCTCCTGAGCACGGATCCGTGCAACTCTTGCTGCCCTTTTATTTGACCCCAGAGGGGAAAAAGGCCTCCCCTTTTCTTAAGCAATTGTTCTCCCTTCCTAGAAGCCCTGCTCCATCCAGAGAGATGGAGCTGACTCTTTGGCCAGAGTGGACATGGGGCAAGTTCTGCAGCTAGACCCTGCTGGGAGCTGGTTACCCACATTTCCCAGTGCAGAGCCCCTGCCCATGGGAGGATCTCGCTGGCCGTGCAGTGCTTTTCTGCCGGAGTTTCTCTGGCCGCATAGCAGGATGTATCACTTGGCTGCAGGGAACAAAAGCAGTACGTGGTTTCATGGGAGCTCCTCCCCTTGACTGGAAGGGGAAGGGGGAAAGAGCAGGGGCCTGGGTAGAAGCAGAGTTGGATGCAGTCAGAGTGGGAAGGGTGGGAGTTGCACAGCGGTCATGTAGGAAACCCCCCTACCCAGGGGCACTGGGATGTGTGATGTCCTGAGGGAAGCTTCACTCCTCCCCCAAGTGCATCTTCAACCCCATGAGATGGACTTTATGGACACCTCTGCCCTGCGCTGGTAAATGATGCATGATAAGGTGGGACTACCATGAAGAGCAGAGCAAAGGGGGCCTGGGTGAAGAAGAGATGTTTCTGGGGCAGGCTTTGCTGCATGTTTCTTGAAGAATGGCACTTGCAAAGTGGTTGCATCTTTTGACATTCTCCTTCTCTCCCTGGGTGGCTTCATGGGCACATTGCAATGTTTTCTTTCCAAACAGGTCTTGAAGCCTTCAGACGCTCTCCTGTAGGAGCAGAAACCATGTAGGCTCTGTATGTGGCAGTCTCTAAGGCTATAATCTCAGTGCTAAGGGCTGTGGGGAGCCGATGTGGCTGCTTGAACCAGCCTGGAGCCATGAGGTGTTTACATGAAGGTTGGTTTTTCATATTTGAAGGCTATGTTACACGCGCTCTTAAGCAGGATGGTGTTACAGTTAAGATTGGGGCTTAGTGGCTCAAGGCCCTAGGGGGCATCGAGGCTCTGGGTTAGGTGACTCAAGCTTTGCTCTGTCACTTCTTCACCCCCCTGTGCCTCAGTTGCTCTCTGTTCCCTTCTTTCTCCAACCCAAAGCCATGCACCTGGCAGCAAGTGGCCCGAGCAAGGCTGGTACGGGGCTGACAACCTCCCACCAGCTTCAGCATCACTCTCTGGGCAGCTGGCACGGCATGGCGAGGTGTTGCTGTCAGGCGAGGAGGAGCCAGCAGCACAAGGATTACCAGTGTTTGCCCTGGTAGGTCTCCTCGCACTCCGCGCTAACTGCGACGGTGACAGAGGTTTGGTGAAGGGGGCTTTCTCAGTGGGGACCAGCCTGGCACTCGCTCCGGCGTGTGCACCACGGCACAGGTGATGGAGGAAGATCCCCAGAGCACCTGGCTCAGCCCTGCTGTCTCCTGGCATGGGGAAGCAGTGGAGGTGGAGCTGGAAGAGGCGTTGTTTTGCTTGTAACAATCTCTTTTCCCCACTATTTTAATGAGCAAAGCAGGCTAGGGTCCAGGAGGCGCCCGGGAGGGGACTGTGCCTCTGCAGACCTGCATCACTGGGCACAGACATCACTGTCCCTGCAGTGCCCGTGTCCCCAGTACTGCCAGTCACAGGCACTGCCAATATCCAGGCCCAAACACCACTGTGCCCGTACACGCATGCACCCCCCCGCATGCCATACACCCACCTGAGCCCAGGCGAGCACCCCCGCTGCGCCGGCCACCCGGATGCCCTGCACGCACCCACCATCCCTCCTTGGGTGCTGTACACCTACCTACCCCGGACAACCCCACGTCGTGGTGGATGGGGCATCCTTAAAAATCTCATCGGGGTGAGGGCAGATATGAGCAATGCTTATCTGGGAGGTGGGGCAGAAGCAAAGGTCTGGGAGAAATAGAGAGCAGCCCGTTGTCCACAAACCTGAGCTCAATAGGAAAGCTCGCTATGCCAACACTGCTCGTCTCCTGCTGACCTTAAGCCAACAGCAAACCAAATGGCTCTGGGGTTTCCCTTCCAGCTGGCAGCATGCAGGGTCTGAGGGCAGCAGCGGGCGTCGCACAGGGATGCATTTCCTACCTTGCCTGGGAGGCAGGGGCCGGTCTCCTTGGCTGGGACGTGTGGCCTCCTCTTCCACACACCGTGGAGCACCAAAAGATGACGCTGCAGAACAATTTGTACTTTGTGAGGGTTTTTTCATTTCTTTGTAAACATCACTTCCATCACTAACAGCATTTAAATGCAGATCAGTGTATTAGTTTTTGCTGTTAGCGACAGTCAAAGCCAAACATCGGCTTGTCCAGTCCAGCAACCAGGTCTTCTGCTCCCTCTGCTCAGAGGTAGACCCAGGTCCAGAAGCTCAGCAGGAGAAAACTGGCTTACTTCCATGAAGGTTAATGGGAATGTATTAATTTACATCACCAGAAGAGCCATCCCTGCATGGTATTTTGCTCACATTTTATGGATTCATAGAAATAAAGCTGAATTGTGACACTCTGAATTTCCTCCCCAAAACCAGGAGCTTGTTGGCATCAGTTCTAAAGCATCTGCACTTCTTTTCTCCCACCCAAAGGGAGTTTCTCAGTTTATCAGACACGAATCCAGCTTTGTGTTTCCCAAGGTTTGGCTTTCTGTGTCTGAGACGTGGGGTTTTTTGGTTGGCTTTTTTTCTTTTTTGCCTTTTTCTTCTACCCCACCCCCCTTTTTTTCTTTTTCCATGGGATGCTTCTCTTTTGTGTTCCTGCTTTGGAATTTCTTTCCTTAGTTCTGGTTACGGGGGAAAGCTGAAGAGCTACCCTTTCTATAGAGCGGCTGCAATGTCCACAGAGGAGAAACGCTCTTAAGCCTGATCTGTT